CGGGGGGGCTGCAGAGCCCGGAGAGCCAAGAGGCGGCACATGGGGGGAGCTGGGGGAGCGGGGGGCACCAAGCCAGGGCTGGCGAGTTGCCCCACGGGGTCAGGTTGAGCAGGTCAGGTTTCGGTTCCTAAGGGCCGGGGTTTGTTGTGCGTTTGTTGTCACCATGACAGCCCTGTTGGGACAGAGCACAGTCCTTGGCCGGCTCCTGCGGTTCCTCACGCAGCCTGGAAAAGGAAGCCCGGGAGGAGGCTGTGACTTGGTCCAGAGCCCGTGGCGCGGGCAGGAACCGAGGAGGAGGTTGCACAGGTCCTGTGATGTGGTGGAGTAGCACGGACACGGCTCAGTGCTCAGCTCCCAGGAGACCTTTCCCTCCTTGAGATTTCCAGGGAAGGTCAGGATGTTCCCAGGATGCCTCCTGTCCCGCGGAGCTTAACGATCCGCGTAACTCCAGCGCTTACCAGGGTGACAGCTCAGTGTCACCAAGACACGGCTTCAGATGCCGGGCTTGACCCTGGTAGGACCATCTCTACCTTCACGTCGAGTCCTGGCTGCCGCGAGAGGCCGGGGCGCAGCTCGGAGCGTGCACGGGAGCACAGACCCAACCTCGGAGCCTCCTTCCTCTTGGCCTCTCGCTTCCCCCGGGGCTGGGCACCGCAGGCTCCCCGGAGTCATCTCGTTTCAGGAATGAGTCGCTGGCCAGGCCGCATCTGGGGTGGGATGAGGTTATGTGGGAACGCCGCTTCTCCAGCGCAAGTTGCTACAAAACAGAGGGAAGTGTTTCGGCGGTTGTGCAATCTGTGTACGGTAACCCCAGCAACAGCCCGTCCACAAGGCACTAACAGGGCTTAGCCGCCGCGCGATGGCAACGTGCCGGCGTGCCAACCGAGGGGGGGTCTGTCGCTCCAGCTGGGGTCCCGGCTGCGACGTGCAGCACGGCGCAGAGAGGAGGGGAAATGCACCCTCCTCTGGCAGAAGCTTCCCTCTCCCCCCAAAATCTAGGCCTTGGGATGCTCTCAGGACGTGTGGAGCGCAGAGCCCAGCACAGACTCACCAACAAGCGTTTCCCTTGACTTCAAGGAGAAAAGTCAGAAACTCGAGGCACACCCGAGGATGAAAGCAGCAGGGCATACATCCCACGCCAAGGCTGAGGGAGGAACGTGCTGCCAGGTCTGGCACTGCGGCTGGCGAGTGGCCAGGGACTGGGATTTATGGTTTTAGAGGGCTCCGGAAAGCTGTCGGCATCCTGCAAACACATTGCTTGCTCCTGACGAAACGCTGCAGCGGCTCGTGCTGGGAACAGGCAGGCCAGGGCGCTGCCTCCAGCTGATGGAGGGTTTGTGCCCTGGCAAAATCCCTTTTATTTAGGGCTGGAGAAGGTGCTCAGGAACTCCAGGTCCCAGTGTTTCCACAGTGATGGGGAGCTGAAGGCCTCAGGACCTCTGCTGTCACCCCAGCCAAGCCCCTGATGGTCTCTGGTGCGGTGGGCAGGACCACTCTGCGTTAGGGTCCCAGAAGGCCAGAAACGAGGTGGGGAAGGAGAGAGCCCAGGCTGCGCCTGCCCCGGCTGCCACCACCCTGGAAGGGTACCAGCTGCCTGCCCTGGAAACCTTCCACGACCGGGCGGGATGCCACACTCAGCCCCCGAAGGCAGGGTCCCGAGGGCCTGCGAACGTGCCAAAGCGGCACCTGCCAAAGGCTCTCCCGGCATGAAGCGTCTCAGCTGAGGTGCCCAACTGCGCTTGTGAGGGTTCTTTTCTGCTGGGAACGGAGCTGGGGCAGAGAGCAGCTCGCCCAGGAGCTAAAAGCGCCTCGGTGCTCACCGGCTGCACTCGGGTGCCCCATCTTCACCAGTTCCCTGTGAAAACACAAAACCCAGCCAAAATCAAACAGCACGCGGCACAGGCAATCCTGCGTGCCGCCCGTGGGGCTCAGGAGACCGGAGTCCAACGCTGGCAGCGGCGGGAGCCCATCCTGCCGGGGCCTGGCCCTTCGCTCAGCACCAGCTGCCCCGGCGCAGAGACAAGGCATCGCACGCCTTGATTTATTCTGCCTCCCCCGGCACTTGACGTAGTGGAGAAAACGTTCCATGTCTCAGCTGAAGGCAGCAGCAGGATGTCTTCCCTATCCAGAAAAACTCCCAAATCAGGCTACTCAGGGCATCCTGCTGGCATCCAACAAAAAGCATGGGCTCCCGCTCCCTGGGGGAACGTGCAGGGCAGGACAGAACCTGCACAGCCCAGCAGCACCTGGGGCTCTGCACCGGCTGTTGGGGATGCCGGGGGCAGAGTCCCTTCTCAGGTGGGTGTCTGTGTGCAGGGCAGGGAAACTTGGGGACAACGGGCCACTCTCAGCAGGACAAGGGGCAGGTGGGCATAGCCTGGGAAGGGGAGGACAACCTGAGCGCTCCTGGAGACGGTCATGTCTCAGCAAACTGTAGGATATCCCGTTCCTTCCCAGCTTGTGCTCAGAACCTGCCCCCTCAGAACACACTGGACCTTTCTTTCCCTGGACATCAGATACACAAGGAAACCCTCATGGTTTCCTCTCCACGAGGTGTGGTCCTCATCCAGCTGCAGTGACCCCAGGCTGGAACCACACACCTCCTGGAGAAGGTCTGTCCCCACCCCTCAGGGATCCCATCCAACATCCATAGGGCCCTACAGAGAGGGGACCGCTCTCACCACCCAGGATACGATGCTAAACCCAGGTGGGACATCAGAGGTCCAGGGAAAAGCAGGGGAGCCGATAAATTAATGACTGCCAAAAAAGAGGAAACTATTTAGCAAAGGGCATAGAAAATTTTATTGTGGACGGAGCGACTGCAGAGCTCCACGTGTGACTCTGGGACTGGCTCCGCATGGACAAAGGGTAAGAAAACAGACAGGGTCTGCCCAGGGGCACGTGCTGGAGAGAAATTACCAGCACCTTCTGGTGGGGGGGATGCCACGAGGGTTGGTCCCACAGGGTTTCCGAAGGGTTTCCACAGCGGCAAGGGAAGCTGGAAGGAACGTGACCACGGGCCAACCCTTCCTGCAAACCGAGACTTGAGGACTTCAACAGCCACGTGAGCTGATCGACGGCTCACGTGCCTCCATGAAGAGTCAAAGCTCCTCATTCCAGCTCTCTCAGGAGTCAAAAATCAGACAGCAAAGGACAGAGCAAGGCATGGGCAAGGGCTTTCTTTCAGCATATGGCCGGCGCCTTCCCACCTTTCTCTGCTGAAGCGAACACTCCAGAAGGAACACTGTCTGGGCCTAAAGTTCCAGAAGTGGCCTTTGCACGAACCTCGGAGCAGTGCAGAAGCCAGTGTGAGCACTGGGATGACGGGCAACAGCCGGGCTGGGAAGTGTGTACATCCCGTGTTGGATGTGCCCAAAGGGAATTTGTCCCCAGATATCCAGTACTGCTCTGAACATTTTGGAATACTCACAGACTGAGGTAGGAACAGCTTAGCTCGACTCACACAGCACGTTTGGTAGGGTGACAAAGACTTCCCAGGCTTCCTCTCCTCTACTGGTGCACCTCAGTGTTCACACACGCCGGCGGCATGCAGCGCCGGGGGCCTTTCCGGCTGCTATCCCGGGCTCCGAGGTTAGCTGGCTGCTAGGCAGATTTGGGCTTGCTGGCAGCCCTGGCTGCAGCGCTCAGCCAGGAATTTGGAAGGGGACACGGTGCCAGGGGACGCCAAGAGGGCAGGGAAAGCCGAGGTGCTGTAGCTCAGCAGCCCAGACAGCTCTCGGCTTCTCACCACCGGCACAGGGTGTCGTGACTCCAGGCACGGGCTACGTACCCCAGTGCCTGCTGCAGGATTTTCCTGCACTACAGAATCCAGGCTTGGCTGAGGGCTAACATGGATCTGGCAGCCCAGGAGAAGTTTCAGGACCTGCTGTATCCCAGAGTTCCTGATGGAGAAGCTGTGCTGTGGAGCATCCCAGGCTGCTGGGAAGGTGGAGCAGGTCCGACTACGCTGCCTTACAGGGTACGTGCTGGTGAACTTGGCTTGAGGGCGCACAGTGGAAAGCGGTGTAGGGACAGGGCGATCCTGAGGCCTGACCTACCTGCTGAAGCCCCCGCGCACGATCCAGCGACTGACGGGGTGTAAGCAGATGGGAAATGTAGTTTTCAGAGTACAGGGAACAGCAGAGATGGAGTCCTTTTCTTCCCCACGGACTCCTAGAAAGTTAGGGCAGTACCGTGCGCAGAGGGCAGGGAGGGTAAGCCCTTTCCTGCGGAAAGCACTCACATTCTCCCTGGCAACACGCCTACTTCAGGTTTGCCACCTTCCCTTGCCTTTGGCTGCGCGTGAGAAACACCTGACCGCAGTCCGACGGTGAGCGCACGGTTCGCCCTCTGCGGAGCATCAGCGCTGCGGCCCTTAACCGGCCCTGGGCACACCCCCGTCAGCGGAGACGCCTTCCCCTTGCCAAGAAGCGCGGGATCGGGCTCTGGGACACTCCAGGCTTAGGAAGAGGCAGCAGCCAGACACAGCGATGGAGCAGGGATTTTACTGCCTCTCAGCTAGGATGGACAGCATCAGGCAAAGGGATGCTGCTACCTCCAGGAAACGAGATGCTGGAGTCCAGGTCTTTGAACAGCAAGATACAAAGAGAAAGAGAACCTCTTGCCTTGTCCCCAGAGGCTGCGGCTTTGGAAAGCTGACGGCTAGGCCGCTGTGGTGTTTTGTCTCAGGTCCTCGAAGCAGGGATCGTGCCTGCCCACGCGCTGCTTGCTGGGGCACTTTCTGTGCTGGGGCTCGGCTGTGCTCGCACAGGGCTGGGGCTGAGCAGTGTGAGGTTCTCCACTGCTCCTACTTACAAACACCGCAGGAGTCTTAGGGAAGAGTTCCAGTTCTTGTTCCAGGTGTCTGGCTTGCTGGCTGCTTTTCCTTCTTACCTTGTGCCCAGAATGCAGGTTCTTCGGCCTGTCACCTCTGGGATTGTCTGTGAACAAGGGAGAGTCTTGAGAGGTGCTCAAGCTGTTCCTGAGAGGCCTCTGAAGGGCCGTGTTCCCAAGGCGAGTCTGAGCCAAGGGAATCTCATCCATGGACTCAGCGGACTCTGAGTGATAGTCGGCTGGGGGTCCCGCTGCCTGGATGAGGCCGATGCTGCTGGGGGGCACAGGGGCTCTCGGAGGAAAAGCCGGCACTAAGAGGCGAAGACTGTGGGAAGATGAGGAGGGAGCAGCTGTGGCTGGGAACTCTACAGATGGAAAGAAAGGGAGAAGAGCTGAAGGAGAGCGAGAGATTCCTCAGCCCCACAAAGATGCCAGCAGGGAACTCCGACATGGCTCGTGTGCCAGTGTTAAACATCGACACAGTCAGTTATGAAAATGTGTGGAAACATACACCCAGCAGTACCCAAGTATGATCATCACAGAGGATCCCCAAGCACTCACTTTCCCTCCTCAGGCAACCTAACTCCCTGCCAGTGCTGGGTTTTCACGACACACTTCATTTCCGTGTGCCAGCAACCAGAAATCCAGCCCAGAGGCAGAGAAGCTGACTGGTGCACTCTCACCTGGCTGGGGATTGGGCGAAGACAGCCCAGGTCTAGCATGTGGTTTAGATCTGCTGTCCATTGCTGAGGAAGAGGCTTTGTGTGTCTTCTTTCTTCTTTTTTTCTGTTGCTGTGAAAGCAAGAGAAGGGAAGTCATTTCATCAGCTCAAAGTAATGAGACACTCAGGTTTTTTAATTGCTACCTCTAATTCCTTCTATTTTTAATAGCAAGCATTAGGTCTGACCAAAAAGCAAGAATATTTTCTAGTTTAAGACTAAGTTGCTATAAAGCAGTGAGGGAGAACGGGTATTTAACAAACACAGGGTGTGCCCACAGCGATTCTCTGTGTGTAGGTCCCTTGCAGCTGCTGTCTCATACAGCTGGCGGCTGTACAAGACACTGGTGGATAAATGCTTTGGCAGAGCCGAACTAGAAGAGGGGACCAGAAGTCACATAGCACAGGACATCCCAAGAGAGATCGCTCTTGTCCAAAAGACTAGTTGAAAAGGTATTCTTCTTATCATGTAGATGAGAAGACTGATTAATAAGCTTGGAGAAAAGGGGGAGAGCACCATCATTTGAGCATCTGGACATGGATACGTGAATAGCAAGAGCACAGCAAACGACTTTGGACAGCTGTTTCATAGCTTCATACCCACACACACCATCTTTCCCTGGGCAGATGCTTTAACATCCATACTTGAACGTATAAAGTGCTGGGTTATGCTCTACAGAAACACCCACAGCTTGTTACACCAACGGAGTAGTATAGAGACAGTCACTGAACCGCACCGGCGCAGCGAGATGTCCAGGCTCTGCCTATTACAGCTGAGCTGCACGCTCACGAAGGAACTGCAGAGTAAATCCCATCACAGAATTGTAGAATCATAGAATGGTTAGGGTTGGAAGGGACCTTAGAGACCATCCAGTTCCAACCCCCTGCCATGGGCAGGGACACCTTCCACTAGACCAGGTTGCTCCAAGCCTCATCCAGCCTGGCCTTGGACACTTCCAGGGATGGGGCATCCACAGCTTCTCTGGGCAACCTGTTCCAGTGCTTCCCCACCCTCACCGTGAAGAACTTCTTCCTGATATCCAATCTAAATCCCCCCGTTTTCAATTTGTCCCCGTTACCCCTTGTCCTGTCACTACAGGCCCAGCTGAGTGCACCAGCTGAGGCTGGAGAGCCCATCGCTTGGACGCAGGGCACAGCCACACCTGCCCAGGCACGCTGGGGACAGGCAGAGCATGTGTCCGAAGGAGACACCGCCCCACGGCCCACACCAGCGTGAGCGCAGGGAACCAGCCAGCCGCAGAGGTTACAGCATGCAGCGAAGCTCCCGCTTACCTGAGAAGGGGCCGCGAAGTGAAGAGACGGGAGGTCAGGAGAGGAGCTCTGCTCGGGCTCAGCTCCACCATCATGCACATGGAGCTTTGAAAAGCTGAAACACATGGCAGATACACAAAGAGGCTTCTCTTAGACGTGACTCTGCTTGCACGTACACATCATCCGGGCCGAAGCCCTGCCGTGCCTTGCAGAGCATTCCCAGCAAGACCTCAGGGCAACTTTTCCTGCACAACTCTGCAAAACATGAAGGGTTTTCTCTCCCTTCCCCAGAGATGTGATTTAGTAGGTAAGGATTAATTAAGACAAGGCTGCTGTTTTCCCCTGAGCGCTTGCCCGTGTTACAGACTTTGCTGTTGTGATTCATCTCTCGACAACCTGAAATCATACAGCTATAATGAGCTCAACAGAGGAATCGCAGGACAAATCAGGCAGCTTTAAAGCAATTTTAATATAAACCAGCCTAAACAGAGTATTCTAGGAAAGTTAGTTTCCTAGGGGAGGGGAGGCAAGCACTCCTGCAGGTATTTACCCTCCCGAAATTCAAAGATTTCACCACACCTTGGTCAAAACATTGGTCCTCCCCATGCACCCAAGTCCTTCTGCCTTAGGGTCCACCAGTGACGTGGGTGACAATTTCCCACGCACCACGCGTGCTGCTGGCAGACTCCACTCTGCGACTCCACTCACCCTTTTCCTGAAGTTACTGTCGAGAACTCCTGTTCTTGGGCACCGGGGTCTGTATAGCCAGGTTTACCTGGAAAAAAGTCTCCTTCCTGAAAAACAGTGATGATGATAAAAAAAGAATTAACATTTTCAGAGCAGTTTCAGACTCCACAGAGGGGAGAAGAGGGATTTTTGCTACAGATATGTCTTCTTCCTCAGCCACATGCCAGACGTCTTCTGTCCTTACAGCTAGCACAGACGAAACTCAGCAGGAGTCTGCTGCTTAGGAAGATGGAAAACTGAGATGGAGACAATTAGGAGTCCCTCATTCATTCCTTTCGTCCAGCCAGTATTTCATGTGACTCAAAATCAAATCAGAGCACGCTTACCGAGCCCATTTCACAGGACCACATTCCAAATAATCACTTGAAGCTTCCATTAGCTGTATACTGTTCCGTCACAGAAGCTAAGCGGGGAATGCAAAAGGCTTCTTTTAAATTCAAACTGGAGGTGATGAAAATAAAACTATGCGACATGCAGGAAAAACAGAGTGTTTTCTGTTTCTTGTGTGAATCTGGTGTGGCTGAGAACGGCGCCGTGTTTTGAAGAAGGTGGTGCATTGCTCGCTTGCCTCAGGTATAGATGAATTCAGAGTAACGCCTTCCTGAGCTTTAAAATTGCATTTTTCATAAACCTATAGGAAGGCTCAACAAATAAGCCTCCAAAATCGAAATATCTGCATTACAGAAAAGGTGATAAAGGGATTTTAAATGTGATGGGCATTAGCTTCCAAAAAAGCTTAAGCAAGCCCCAAAAGATCTAACTGTCTGAACAGCCTGATGAGCAAACCTGAGCAAATGAAGTCAAAGCCGGACGTCCCACAGAGGGGTTCCTGAGAGACCCGGCGCCTCCAGCTCAGGAACCGACACCAGAGTGGAGCGGTGAGCTGGAGCCTGGCGATGACACTCCCTTATGCAGGGCGGTGAGACCGAAAGGCAACCACGAGGAGCTGCAGAAGAGCGCTGCAATATTGAATTACGGGGCGAGGAAGGGGCACGGGGAAATCAATATTGCTGGATGTAATGCTGTGGGAAAAGTCATGTCCTTACGTATGAAGCAACAGTCTCTGAACTAGAAAAGAATCCGTGGAGCTGCACATTCAGTGGCAGCCAAGAAATCATTTCAGATTATAGGAATATAAAGGAAAGGCATAAAAAAATAAAGACAATAGTTTCATGTTGCTGAACACATTCATCGGCAGCCTGGACACTGGATTCTCCATGTGTTCCAGCATCATCCACCACAGAAAGCCTAGAATAAGGTGCAGAGAAGAGTGACAGGACCAACGGAAGGTACGGAGCGGTTTCTAAACAACAAACAGCTGACGGGCCAGGGCTCTGCAGTCTGGAGAGGCAACACGCAGGGCTGATACGAGCGGAGAAAGCAAAGGGGGAATAACTGTTTACCATCACTCTAGGAGAACATTTAGGGAGCATCAAATGAAAAAAAAAACAGGTAGTAGTTTCAAAAGAAACAGAAGGAAGGCTGCACTTTTGACACAGCATGGAAACTCACTGCCACAGGATGCTGCAGGCACTACATGTTACATGGATTCAAGAAGAAATGGGAAAAGTTCGTGTGAGGAACCAGCAAGCACAAACCCGTCCGAAGCTCTGTGCTCCAGAAACCCCTAACAATGCCAAGTGCTGGGAGAGGGTTCTGGGGGCTACAGCTCCTGTACCTTTCCCAGCATCCACACCTGGCTGGTGTCAGAGCCAGCACATAGCTCTGATCAAGTCTTCGTTACTCCTTGCTTCTGGACACGCTGGAATCAATGTCTGGAGTCTCAGTACTCGTGTAATTGTTAGATAAGAGAGTTGCCAAACTGGAAAGACTTCAGCCTTTTGTAACATTCCCTTAGTTTAACTGGTCTTGTAAAGAAAAAAAAAAAAAAAAAAAGAGGTGGAGAAGAATCTGCAGCTGTTTTGTAGGTGGTAACATCAAATCTGAAGGGAATTGGTTTAGCAATCCCAAACATTAAAACTTTCTGATTCGAGAATGATGCTCTTCGGGGCTATTATGGGCAGGGTTTATCCGAGTGTGGGATCAATAATCTGCAGAAATCGACCACACGTTTTTCAAACAGAACTTGTAACTCGTCAGACCCTTGCTCATCATCAACTGAACAAAATGCACATAAGTATTTCCTCAGAGCTCCTTGGGGACCAAATTCTTAACATTTACATTCAAGCCTCATGGACCTGAGTCACACCTGAAGGACAGCAGACACAGTCTCGTGTCACTGTAAGCGTACAGGCAGGGAGATGCAGGTCTCTTCCTTTCCAGATGAAAGCATGCCATGGCTGAAATCCTCGTAGGACTGCACACAGCAACAGAAAATGATCAGGATTCAATGTCCACAGCATACAAACGGGGTTGCAGCACTGACTTTTCAAAGGAAATTAATAAATGATACATCTTGAGATCATAAACAACTTCTTTCCAAGCTGAGAATGAAAGCGCTTTTTAAAACCCATTTTGTCCATTTCAGCCTTCTTTAAATTATGCATAACCACAGCAGCCACATGAAAGAACGTAAACCATTAGAGCTGACAAGCAGAAGCAAGCGGAAGAAGACTGGATCAGTGGAAAGCACAACATTCTCTCGGTGTGACGACAACTACAACCGCAACGCAGAGAGTCCCAGCCTCCCTCTGCTCCCAGTCGTCAGCAGGACAGCCAGCATCCTTCAGTTGGGACTGTGAGACAAATCCTCCCTTTCCAATCGGGTTGTTAGGGTTCAGCTTTTTCTCTTGCTGAAAACAGACTGCTAAAGTAACAGACTGCCCAGGTTCACTGCCACCCTGCAAATCCTGGTCGGGCCCAGACCTCCTCTAGAGGCTGAATGCCAGCTGTGTCCTCCCCAAGTTTCGTGGTCACAATTCAGGATGAACTCAGCTCCCTTTTCCGCTGCAGCTGCTCTTACAATCCACTTCAGCGAGAGCCAGTGCCCTGAAATGCTGTCTGGCTGGAGGGGAGGCAGAACTGGACTGGTAAAAGGGTTCTTGTGCCAGGGAAAGTGAGTCTGTTGCAAGTGTTGAGGGTGAGAGTGAAGACTAGGTTCATCTTAACCAGACATTGGAAAAGAGAAGCAATACTGAGGATGTGAGGGAAGCTGAATAAAAACCGTGTTCAGCATTTAAAAATCAAACCTCACCAACCTGAATCAGTGTCCAAAGCAAGTTCAGAGCTTTAGGAATGTGAAAAAATCACATCTCAGCTGACCTCACTGACCGCCAGCTCCCTGGTGTGAATGCAATTAGGCATTAAAGCACGGGGTTTGGTTTAGTTCATGTTTCTTTGGACTGCTGCGCAACTGCCTACACAAAAATCCTGTTACGTGCCACTGCTGCTTTGGGTATAGTAATAGATGCAAAGTCTGTGTATGTCCAACTGTTCCGCATTTTTGGTGACATCTGAACCACTCAAGTGTGCAAAATTAGGGCTTTTACTTTCTACGAGCATACAAGAACCCTTTAACCTGATCAAGAATCCTTTCACCTGAACATAGCCGACAACGTAACCACAGACAAACATGGAAAACTGAAGCCAGAACCAACACCCAAGCTCGAACAAGGCTCAGACCCAAGGATTAAAGGGGAAATGCAGGTTTCTTCTTACTCCCTAAATAAATGAACAGTTAAGATTAAAGTGGGAAGAGGATGATTTCCATTTTATGCTTGCAACATCTTGGATCAATTACAAAGGATTTCTGTGTTGAAGCTAAAGAAGGCTGTAGTCAACCCATCCTACAAAAGGCACTTTTGTGCACTTGGTGCACTCCTACTCCAATCTGTTTGTTTGTGTTTATCTCTGGTTGCTATGTAAGAAACAAGGAAAATCTGGTGGGTTAACATTTTTCTTAACAGTGTTACTGGGCATCATCCAGTCTTTCTTGTTCCCCAAGGTACTAACTACAGTCCTGAAACCCAGCACTCCTTTTCACCCCGCTTCCTTGCTGCTTCAAATTAACCGCAGTCACACAAATCTGCATAAGCACCAGGAGATCACTGAATGGCAACATCCCAAATGTGCACACACACAGAGTCCACCCCCGTTCAAGTATATTTTCAGTATCAATCAAAATTCAGTAACTAGGAAATGATTAGAGCTAATGTTTTATTATTGTTTTAATTTTCATGGTAAGCAAAGCTCTGTGAGACAAAGTGCCAAATAGTTTTGTTGTTATGGAAACCTCTGTTTAAACCAAAAGTTCAACTTTTTCAAGGCAGTAAAAAATATGAAAAGCTGGGGTCTTCATATTATATGAAAGGGAATTAGCTCATTTACCCCTTTGTTTTGATTGGGAAAAACTATGAATGAGTCCAGAGAGATGATCCCAGTAACCCTAAACACAATACTTGGATGAAGCTTGGATGAAGCTTCTGAAATACAAAACTGGTTGAGGAGTAGGCAACTTACTTGTGTAAAGCTAGATAGAGTTACATGGGCTCACAGAATTGCAGAATAATTTAGACTAGGAAGGATTTCTGGAAGTTTCTAGTCCACTCCCACCCCCCCATCAAAGCCAGTACAAAATTTGTCCAGTCAAATTTTGAGTAACAAGAGGGATAGAGCTGCCTTGCAGCAGAAGAAATTACTCTGAACCTCTCAATTCACAGTGGGATATAGATGCCACTGCAGAGTGTAATAGCATTAAACAGCTTGTAGAAGTCTTTCTACAGAGATACAGACCAGCATCACAGTAATCACAGGGACCTTTATTACTACGTCGGCTCGATTCAAAGGAAAGCAGGTATCTGGGTCATTTCTGAACACTACTGGTGCCCTTTTCCTTTTCAAGATGGTTAAACTATCTGGGAATATTAGCTGCTCGATGATTAGCCCCAGTTTCTGCAGCCTTAGAGCCTGTCTCACTTTTAGTCCCGACCTGCGATACCGCTCACATGAGCCAGCAAGATGTGCACTGCCACCCAAAGTCCTTCCCCGTGACGGGACCCTTCCCACTCTCCAGTCATCCCTCTTCGTGCCAACACAGGTCTTTATCTGACTGCGTGGTGAACCAAAGGGGAGGGATCTGGGCCAGTTAAACACGAGATCAACTCTTTGTTTAAGAAAGGTTATTCTTACCCAGATGAGCTCCCCCACCCTGTTCGCTGCGTGACTGTAACAAACAGCTGTGCTGGCAGCAGAGCACAGATAGAGACGGGCCCAAAACAAGTGCTGGAGGAAGAGGGTGAGTGGGAGCGATTCCTCTGAAAGCTGGACTCACTTACGCCTCAAGTGGCCATCGAATTACAGGTCTTACGCTCTCACATCCTACTGAACTCCACCAAAGCACCTCTGAAGTCTGATCTTTAGCAACCGCCTCCAAAATGCGGAGCTCACAGAAGCGAAGCAAACTGTACACTGCGGACAAGCGAGACCGGTTTTGAGGAACGGACCGGAAGCACGACGAGTACCTGACTGGGGCTGGCTTGGGAGGGACAAGACTCCAGTTGCTTGTCCGCCGCTCTCGTCTCTTGCTGGGGACGCTGCTGCAGGATGTACTCGTACGTAGTCAGTTTGTTCCACACTGGGAGGAAAGAATGAGAGCTGTCAGCGCAGGAAAGCCACTCCCTGATGACAATATACAAACAGTCCGAATAACTGTACAAACAGTAACTATAAACATGAAAAGACTGATACTCTAAGCCAAACCTTTGCACTTTATATCTTATTCTATGCTTTACTGCCATCATCACAACGCTTAGAGTCCCACTGTTCTGCAGTCTCACATGCACGGTTCAGCCTCCTACGCTGCAGGAACGTGTTCAGCTCATTCCAGAGCACACCCGTTACTCACACCCGATAAGGCTAAGATCTGTGTTGCACAGCAAGCTCAGAGAGTAGTCAGAGGGTATGTGATGCTAAATAGAGAAAAGAAATTCAGACGTCAGTGTGTCCCGTAGAGGAGATCAAGACATTCATGTCCAAAACAGTGAGCAGGGAATGCCCGACCTGTCTGGTGGCAAACCGACGTGTTCAGAGTTCCCACATGCCTGGTTTATGTGCTCTGAAGGACCTACATGCAGAAACACACCTGCTTCCAGGAGTGACCAATGGGACGTTTCTGAGCTTGGTTTCTCCATGAGACCCAAAACATTACGAGGATCCAAAACTCACACACTCCTCTCATAAAGACCCTGTTACAGTAAGTATTTTGGAGCACAAAACCCAGAAATGGATGCTGAAGGGTTTTAGTGCACAGCCTGGTAGTCAGGCCTCCTTTTTGCAGCAGCATAGCTTAAGGCAGACATTCCCAGGGTACGGGACAGCAGACTAAAACCCTTCTTCTGCCTGAAGACATCCCTACCAGTAACACCTCACCTCTCAAAACCATGTCCTAAACACAGGGCTACTGCGCAGGGAAAAGGGGAGGTGGAATCAGAGGAGAGAGTGCCCCTCCTGTTAAAGCAATGACCTCATGAAGAAATAAGAATTCACGATCCATTTGGCCAGGAAGAGAGAGCATAAAGACAAGTGTGAGTCTGCAGCCAAGTGACCAGTGAACGCACTTAACGGGGAGAGCGCAGGGGGCTGGCAAAGGCTCCTACACTGGTCCTTGAGAAACAGAATATTGCCTCAGAAGCAAAGGGTTATAAACCATTTTTAGTTTGGAGTTTGTTGGTTTCTGAACGCTTAACAGCGTGACTTTTAAATTATTTTAATAGAGCTACTTAGTTAAAAACCACTGCATTTGTCTGGCCAGCCAACACTGCAGCACATCCTGGGCAATATATAATCACAGCCCTACACTGGTCCTTGAGAAACAGAATATTGCCTCAGAAGCAAAGGGTTATAAACCATTTTTAGTTTGGAGTTTGTTGGTTTCTGAACGCTTAACAGCGTGACTTTTAAATTATTTTAATAGAGCTACTTAGTTAAAAACCACTGCATTTGTCTGGCCAGCCAACACTGCAGCACATCCTGGGCAATATATAATCACAGCCTGTGAAGAGCCCCGTCTATATTCTCTTCCTATATTCCCTACTATTTTTTTCTTTTTGTTCTGCTTATTCTTGGCCTCTCAGTAGTGAAGAAAAAAACAATTCTCCTCCCTCCAGTCTTCTGAAGCACCACGCTTCACTGAACGCCTCTAGATCTGAGTCTCAATCAAGACCGGTGATTCTGAATACAGGGACCTACTATTTTGAGAATTACCTACTTCCTTCCTTTTGAGTGACAGCAGTGAGTAATTAAAATCGGGACAGTCATTCTGAAAATTTCACTGTGCTTGTAACAAAATTAGAGCCTAAAATTTTCATATACCTGACTCAAGCCAGGGTTTATATGTGAAGCTTTAAGGCAATACCACTCACAAGGGTGCTATTTTCTTTCTGTAATCTAATTATTTAAAAAAAAAAAACATTTATGAAGAAATTCACATGAACAGTAATTATGTTTTAATTGGTAAACAGCATTTCTAGTCCCAAACGATGTTCTGACAGTTCATTCCAACACTGTCTGCCCTAAAGCATTCAGATGAGACTACTGACAATTACAGGGGTGAAATAAGAGGGATTTAAACCAGACATACTTTGTCCATTTCCCTGAATCCCAGCTGCAAGTGTAATGCATACCCATACGTAACACACAGTGCAGGCTTCTACACGGTAACATCGCTCCTTTTACAGTAACAATAATTAACAATAATTAAATCCTGTTTCCAGGTAAGTCATAAAAATTTAAAATTGGGCCAGAAATAAAAGTTAATGTGGCTCAAAATTTATTCGGAAAGAGGAAAAAAAAATCACCCAAGACAAGAGCAATAAAAAATCAAACCCCAAACCCAGAGCAGAACTAGTGTAACATGTGCCCGGTTCCATTTGTCTTTATCCCAGGGAGGGAGCACCCTCTTGTGGAACTCGTACACAAAGACAGGAAAAACACTGCTCAGCACTAAACCAAATAATCCTTCTTTTTCAGCCAAAAGAAAGCAGCCCCAGCTTTGTTCTTTTAGTCTCTCTACAGTGCTAGCTCAACATCCGAAATCTCCAGGCATCGCCGTTAACCCGGCCAAGTCAACTTCCAATTCCACCAAGACAGCAAAATTGCAGCGTGACCAAATTTAAGTTCAAAGAGGCTGTAAAAGGAAAAGGGCTGTCAATGACCTCGCTGCCTGTAACGTTAATGCCAGCTGAGGTACACTCACCCACCAAATGCTGCGCTGCCACAGCACAACTGTTTTGCTTCTGGAACCACGGTGGTTTGTGCTGACCCAGTTTGTGTTGGCATTTGCATCGCTGTTAACTGACAACCTAAAAAACCCATCCAAGGATCCTCTGTAACCGCCGTCCTCGTTTCTCTTCCACCACATCCCTTCTTCCCTAGTTTTGGCACCACCGGCTACTGCAAGTGTAAGGTCCTTTCTCATCACAACTTACATCAGGCAGCCAAACAGCATCGGCGACCGTTCAGACGATGGCTGAAAAAAGGGTTTGGATGCCCATCTGTACGTAAACAGACATCAGTATCCTGCAACAAGCAGGAGACCTAATGGGGAGTCTTTCTGAAAACCTCTTCCTCTGAATTCCACAAGTCTTTCTGCATCCATACAGTACAACTTCCATGAAGGGACCTTGACCTGGACGCCAGGCCTCCGATGAGAAATTTAGATCAATACCCTCCTCATTTGTCCGGGGTAGGAAAAACAGGCTCTCTCACACAACACAAGTACCAGGGAGCACAGTGAAGAGACTCACAAAAGCCTGTCTTTTAACATTAAACCCAAATTTTCTCCTTTTTCAATGGCAACCTTGCACTACGAGTACATATTTGTGACATGGGTGAACACACAGTGAATGCAGAATGAGTAGAAGCAGCTAAACGAAAATGAAATGGGGATGCAGATGGCAGGAAGATAATACCTACTGAGATAGATGTGAAAGGTCAAGAGGTGGCCCAGCAGGATCACGGTCATTAGGCTCATGAGAATGAAGATCCCAGCCGTGACCAAAATGGCAGATGACCGAGTCTCAACGGGAGCCGCAGGAAGAAACACAAACCAGCGGTCCGTGTGGTTCTTTAGAGCTGTAAAACAAAAGGAGTTGGAGGTAAGTACGTTTTCCAAGTATTAACTATCTCTAACTAGACTTTAGGTGTTAAATCTTTAACTAAACCTTCCAGCTGGAAATATGGTTCACTCAAAAGTAGCTGTAGACCCATTGTGGAGGCCTAAGAAATCTTGTGTCTGCAAGGCCTTTTAGGAAGAGCAGTTACTCAGCTCTGGAAGGAAAGACATTCTGTCCAGCTGAGCAGAGATACTCTTGCAGAAATATAAAATTGAAGGCATAAGGAACAGAGTTCCTCCTCAGCAGGAGAGCCCACAGAATCCAATCCCATCTGGAGATCTGCTGGCTGATTCACGGGATGCTCAAGTGAAGCACTGCTAGTACCGTCAAAGTGCTGGTCGGAGCGAAGCATCGTGGGGTCAACGAAGAACTCCACAAAGACGTAGCAAGCGACGAGCAGCAGAAGCCCAAGGCCCAGAATGGCAGACAGCACGCTATTCAAAAAGAGCCTGCAAGAAGGTGAGAAGTCTGAGTAGCTTCAGTAACGTCCCACATGCAATTCAAAATCCCAGCCTCTACTAAAGATGGAGATAGACAGCTATCGCAAATTCCTGTGACACTTTATTACGCTTACCACGGATACTGGTTACCAGTCTTACTTCTGGTTTGTTACCCTGAGGGACTAAACTGTGCCCCTCCCATGGTTATAAAACAGTTAAGTACACCTACACAAAACCTGAAGGCAGTGCAAGGGGCACCCAGCAGTAACAACTCCGTGCTTCCCATGAGGTTTTAGTGCAGGGAAGTAACCTGAGAAGCCACGCTCAGTGACAGCCTCCTTGTTCTTCATCTTAAGCCTGGTAGAGGTTATTGGTGCCTGTATGCTCTGGTTTTTTTTTTAGCACGCAATTGGGATGCAGGTTGTTTCAGAGGTGGGAACAGCACCATCATGGTTCTATTCCCACTCCAGAAGCATTAAGGACACGCAGTTAACATCCCATAAGCTTTTCCTAATACCAAATAATAAGATTATGTTATCTGATTTTAAAATTCTAAGCGTAGGAGTTTTATCCCCGGTTATTTGAATGTCATAATCACGCTCGCTGTTTCCATCTAGTTTTCTCATGACTGATTTTATTCAGCTGGGGTCTGAAAGAAAAGTGGTTCTGGGGGGCTGAGTACAGACGGGAGTGAGCGGCAGGAGAATCCTGGGAAGAGAAGGAGCGACATTATTGACGCAGTGTTGTGCTCCAGACACAATGCCGGGCTCTTACCAGTAATTCCTCTCTCCCACACAGTTGTTGAGCCATTTGCAGTGGTGATCAAAGCCACACACACACTTGTTGCAAGTTCCACAGTGCTTTGACTTGGCACTCCTGCCAAAGAAAGGGTGGCGTTAGCGTGGCAGCACCAGCTCATCGCCATGACTTTCCAGTGACACAAATATAGGAAATACAGCAGGAGAGATCCTGGTAATAGTGAGAAAACCTTTTACATCAGGAACACTTTAACAGCCAAACACATTGGCCCCCGTTAGACCATAATCCCAAACACGGCAAGATTTGCCTTCCGGTGCACGGCGCGGTTGCTAAACTGGAGATCATTTTCTTATCTGAAACCCTTCAGCAGGTCTACAAAGCTCGATCTTAACCCCTGTCCCCCACACAGCTCCTGCTACCGTGTTAGCACCTAGCCAGATACAAGCACACATGTCGTCAGGTCGCACACCAACATCCAGGTAACACGGGACACTACTGTCCTCGCCACACAGCACGTCAGCAACTAAATAAACACAGACCCGTGCGCATGTCTGACAGTGGGCACCTGCCCAACTGTAGAATCACAGAATGGTTTGGGTTCAAGGGACCTTAAAGCCCATCCAGTTCCAACCCCCCTGCCATGGGCAGGGACACCTTCCACTGGACCAGGTTGCTCCAAGCCTCATCCAGCCTGGCCTTGAACCCTGCCATGGGATGAAGTTTAACTCATGCTATAGAGCTTCAGGGGCTAATTTCAACCCTACAGTCCAACATTAAAGACTAACGGTGAAGCGTAATGGCGAAGAAGACAGATTAGTAGAAGGAAAAGAGAAGATACTTACACATCTACATCACAGACATGGCAATGATGGTTTTCAATGACATGTGCATGTTCATTACGACTGAAGGTGGCCAGAGGCCCTAGATAGTTTTTTTCTCGCACATTTGCATCCGCAGGGTCAATAGAGACTGCAGTAAGATGAACAACTAAATGGTAGATAAAACACACTCCTGGACACTGAAGTACACAGTTAAGGATTGTATGAGTGGTTGAATGCATATATTTTTATCCTTAATACACAAAGCCCACACAGACAAGAGTTCTATGGCTCAGAATGGCAAATCACTACGTAACTGACTGCAGCACATGAGTCTGAGCTGTATTAATGGAGATGTTTGCAGCGTAATAAATACCTTCTGGAAAAAGATAAATCTACAGGAACAACCCGCCTCATTATGTACTACTCTGCCTCACCAAAATGTTCTTCCTAGCACAGGAGTTTTCCAAAATGACTGTTACTTACCAGACTCTGACCCCAGGTGTAGACTGCTGGCACAGGCCTGTGTTTCTCAGTCCATACAGACTCCTTGGGAAGGAACAGCCAGTTAAGGCCGTGCACACGCCCCTTCACAAGACCAAACTTCCAAGAAAGAACAAAAAAAGAGTCACGTGAAGGAAGTAGTACTGATCACACTGCTTTCCTTTTCCTTAGTCAGAATCCCAAGCAAGATTCCTACAGTAGGTTCCTACCCAAATTCCAGACAATATCCGGGATTTTTCATTGTTTCTTGAAAGACTACCTGTTTGGATTCTTACTTCTCAACACAGGAGCAAGTCAGAGCAACTGCGCTTTAGCAGTACCTTACATCAGACACCTGAAGTAACCCAACAGTATTTAGAAAGAATATACATATATGTAAGAATATGCTAATACATAAGAATATACAAGTAGAATGCAGCAGCCCCGCACGCCTTGTACCACTTGAGAGTTTTCTACTCAATACACCACGATTAAATGAGCGCACGTGCAAAAATGAACCTTCTGGTTTCTTTGCTGTACACCCAGCACTGCACATCATTGACCATACTAATATCTGTGGAAAACACAGCAGCACAGCGTGTGGGGAAAAACAAAAAAAAAGAGATCTTGGAGAGGTCTAGCTGACTGGAGCTCCAACGGCTGGTGTAGCAGGATGGGAAGGGATTTGCCTTTGACACAAAAGAGACATTAGTGTGTTAGTAAAACTTTGGGATACATTAATCTGTTGAATTAAGAGTGACTTGAGACTGAGTTATAAAGATATTTGGTAAACAAATTCATAGAATCACAGAATGGTTTGGGTTGGAAGGGACCTTAAAGACTATCCAGTTCCAATCCCCCTGCCACAGGCAGGGACACCTTCCACTAGACCAGGTTGCTCCAAGCCTCATCCAGCCTGGCCTTGGACACTTCCAGGGAAGGGGCATCCACAGCTTCTCTGGGCAACCTGTCCCAATGCCTCCCCATCCTCTCCAGGAAGAACTTCTTCCTTATATCCAATCTAAACCTCCCTGCTTTCAATTTAAACCCGTTACCCCTTGTCCTGTCACTACAGGCCCTTGAATTCATGAGGTTTGAACTGTGATAATACCAGGGATTTGGGTAACAGAGGCAGACGTAAGACCACTGTGCGTTAATCATATTAATGCCTAAATCACCCAGGTGTAATAAAAAATGGATAAGCAAAAGCATACCAAACATATCAAAGGCTCCATGGACATATATAAATCAGAAGTAAAAATTATGCAAGTGCATGTCCCATCTTTTCAGAATTTTTCCCAAGACTCTCTCTATAATATTCCTTGCTTATCTGCCTCTACTAAGAAAATTTTATTTTCACCAGGAAGATGTTACTGGAGAGATGACAAAAGCAAACACTTGCTCACAAATTATAAATCTTCACCAGCTGGGTAAGTACTAAATTCAGATTTCTTCCAGTCTGCTACTCCCCAGACAAACTTCTCCACCAGGAGCCAGGGCCTGGCCTTGAGGAAGCTCCTTCCCTGGGTGCAGATGAGGACACAAGGCAGTACTGGGAGCACTGGGATTGCTCCCCAGTACACCTCATCTCTAGCCCCTCTCTTTCCCAGCTGCAGAGGCAGCAAGCATGCGCAGCTCTGGGGAGGTGGGTTGAGGCCAGGAGGTGGAAGACACATGGGTCTGGGCTGAGTTAGGCTTTGCTGGGCAGCACACAAGACAAAACACCTTCACGGTATAAACACCTCATTTTCTGATACTGCCCACCTTCAGAGAGGAGTTAGAGAGCAGTCCTGCAGCTCAGGACTGTCCCACCACAGACCTGTCCTCTGAGGTTCACACTACACCGCCTTGTCTTCCACTCACAGATTTTCTCCAGAGGAGAGGAGAGTGCCCTGAGAGAAGATCAGCTGCCAGCTATCACAACCAACCGCACCGTACCATCATGAAGAGATAAAGCTGCCTTTCAAGGCTCATTCAGTCAGCACGGGGCAGCGTGGCTGCCCGTTGTGGCAAGGATGTTTCAGGAGGGGCTTTTTTTAGTACGACTTCCCCCAAACCCTGCAGCACGCTTGTAGAAGGATACTATAAGGCAAAGGAGACCCATAGGCAGAATGAGACAGCAGAAGAGCCCCAGAGGCAAAGACAGTAACCTTAGCAGGGTGATGGAGAGAAGCAGAACGTTAGTGACCGACCTGAAGTGGAGGGGCAGAGAGTATCCCAAAATAAGTGGGTTTTATAGACAGGGGGAGATCAAGATTACAGTTATAGTTCAGAAAAAGATTCTGGCTCAGCTGCTTTCTCCTGTGCTTTCTATGCTACCTAACAACTATTTTTAAAAAATCCCCCTCATCATTTATTCCAGTCCATGTTCACCTCTTGACCAAAGGATACGATATAGCCGGCAGGCAGCCAGTGGCGGGGCAGGAGAGGAACCAGGATTCCAAAGCCAACCAGTGCAAAGAAGAGGTACAGCAACCAGGCAATAATCTGGAAAAGGTGCAGAGGCCAGCTCCAGCCATTCCTTCGAGCGCGTTGGACCTGCACCTCAGGAAAAGCTTCACCCAAACTCTCTGGAGCTGTTTTATTAGGAGGTTTGTTGCAGATATTCATCTATAGAAATCAAAAATGGAGAACAAAAATATATGTGATACAAAAATATCGTGACTGAGCCCCAGTCCCGGAGATACGTTCCAGGGTGGACAGAAAGTTGGAGACTAAAATGACGACACATCAGAGGAGCGACTTCTCTCTGCACAAGGGATTTGTGACCGATAGTAACAAAAAGGAAAACAACAATTACATGCCCTAAAAGAAAGTGCTGATGTCTGTATCAAACAATAGCCCAAACTTTCAGCCAAGGGAAACTTGCAGGTTTTGCCAGTGTTTGAACTGATCCAGACCTAAACTGAGTAAAACGAGCAAAGAGGGTATTTTAGTGGCAGTCCTGGGATGGAGTGTGATATGCTGTGGTCTGGGGATGTGTTCATGTCAGAATGCTGTTGCAGATGACGGCAGAACGAATGCTATCACCTGCCTCAGATATGCCATGTTTCCCTTCCAGCTAGCGCAGAGAAGTGTAGTGAGAGTGGGTTGACCCGCTGGAGCACGTGGTCTGGAACTGCAATTTAGCACTACACAGCATCCAAGGAAACAGAGACTCCTTTGTCAGCAACAAAGGAAGTGGAAAGACTAGAAACTGAAAAAGTGAACTGATAATTTAATGACAAAAAGGGGAAGAAGAAGCAGGAGTTACTCCACAACGCAAGTATAAAGCAGGCTGTTGCTAGAACAGAACAGAGAGTTACGTAGGCAGGACATCCATGCAGGACACAGCTTGATTATTCAGCTGCCTGGACTCCTGGCAGGAGAAAGCAAGAGTTAACCACAAAGATGAGTTACAAACCATAACCTGGAAAGTTCATGCTTTTTAGGACTCCTGTTTGCACAACAGCTATGAGCTCAGAAGCAATTTCTCCTTTTTTCAACTTGCGTTGGATTATTTGCTGCTACTTTTTGCTTGCCGTGAAGCCAGGATGAGCTTTTAACTTCAGAGAGTTGGGCTGCTCTGCTTTATGGAAAACTTGGGTGCAACAGACACTAGGGAGTACAATTCAGGCAGCAGGTCAGGGGTAGCATTGCAAAACCAGCACCAAGAAGGTCTGCTGGGCCTGAGCTGACTTGCAGTACCACTGCACCATGCCCAATGTTCCTTAGTAACTAGAGAGGATGTTAAATTAACATCAAAGAGGGATAAGCATCTTCAATTAGTCTGATTAACTTGCACACAAGCATGCTGAAAGAGGAGGTCTCTAGCTCTCTTGCTGTATTTTTGACAATGGTCCCAGTGCCAGAAAAAAGCCGCAGGGCTGGAAGACAGAAAGCGTACCAACGTCTGAAAGAGCAAGCAGAATCATTCAGATCTCAGTACACTAACAGTCCTGCGTCAGTCCCAGGCAAACGGGGAAACATCTTTTGGGATCAACTGATAGACAAGTAGTGGGTAAGAATACAAAAGAATGTAATTTATGATCATCAGCACAGTCTAATCAACAAGCTGACTGGGGGAAAAAAAATTCTTAACTTCAGTCTCTGAAGAAACTACCAGTATCCACCTGCATTCACAGTCTGAACTGCTACATGGCAACTGGCTCATCAATGATGAGCAACAGTTACTAACCACGTGATGCTCTTCTCATCAGCTTGTTGAAAACTTCCTTGCACTTTGAGCTACCTCTTACAAAACGCACTCAGATTATTTGAAGAAATTCCCAGGCTTCTCCTTTCTCAGACCCTGGCCGGGGGAGCCAGGCCCACCCAGACCCTGAAATCCCTGTTTTGCTGCAAGACTTTGCTGCTTCAGAACGCCAGATAGTTTTAACATCGTTATTTAATGTCAAAAACTTCGGTACAATTCGACAGAATTTTTTACGTGGTGAACTGCGACTAAGCTACCTCCTGGCTGAACAATCCCTAAGACTGCAGGCAGCCCACAGCAGCCTCTGGGAACAGACTCTCAAGAAGGATGGAAGCTTCATCTGTGTCAGAAGTGAAGTTCCGCTTGCCTTTCCCTTACAACTCGATGGCTTCTCTTCTAGCTTATCCAGAGATACTGATGAAAAACAAAGCAATATGCAAACAGACTCGAGGATACAGCATCTCCCCTTCCCAGCGGGGTTGCTTATGCTCTGGGTATGCCCACCACTCCTTTCTACCCAGCTACAGAAACCACTGAATAGAAACAGTATAAAAAACAAGGCACAAAGTCACCATCAGTCACCGCAGACCGAGGCAACCGAGTTGTCAGCTGTACCATTCAACTAGTTAACCCTAAATCAGCCGGGAGTTATCAGGTTCACCCCTCCGGATGTCCCGCCACCGGGCAGCGGGAGGGAGCGTGCAACCAGCCGCGCTGGGACACCGGGACTTGCCGGCGGGAGCAGGGACCAGGGGC